ACATCATGTCTAATGTTTTTTTTAATTAACTTTCAAAAGTCGAGCTCTAGCTTTTGATTTGCGTGACATGGTCTTCAGTGGATAGTTTGTTCAGTGAAAGCCTATATAACAAAGTTGGTCACATCATAACTGGGGATGTGGTTGAAAGCTCTGGAAAAGCGAGTAAGGAAACCTTGAGTTAATACTTTTTGTCAGGCCAAGTCTGTGGTTGTGGTCAAAATGAATTTTTGCAGAGGTGATGGTTTTGTCTGCGCAGCAGAGAGTAGCGTTCAGTCAGTTGGCGCTGTGCAGAGAGGGTGAGCAGCAGAGCGACAGACGGTGACGAGGTCGGAGCTGCTGTGGACCCACTGGTGATGTTAAAGAGTGTGGAGCTGTGGCAGAGAGAGGGAGAGAGGAGCTGAAGTGACGAGAGAAAATGTCATTTAACAACCACAACATAGTTAACTGGTCTCACCTTCTAGCTGGTTTCTCGCCACTTACCATCCGTCTGTCTGTCTCTCTTGTTTTGTCTGTAGCTCGTAAACAGGAGATCGTCAAGATAACAGAGCAGCTAATTGAAGCAATCAACAATGGAGATTTTGATGCCTACACGTGAGTACAGCTAGAATGAAAAGCAGTGGGTGAATCAGGACTTAAGTGCTTTCCTCAAAGTAAAACAAACCTATTGTATTTCTTTTACTGCCTTCACACAACTTCCTCTTCTAATGCCTCTATCTTCTCACACATTCTCCACTTTCTCACCTGCCTCCTTTTATTTCTCGTTCTATCTCAGGAGGATTTGTGACCCTGGACTCACCTCTTTCGAGCCTGAGGCACTGGGGAACCTGGTGGAGGGCATGGACTTTCACAAGTTCTACTTCGAGAACTGTGAGTCTCCTCATGTACACAAACATCTGTTCATTTTAACCTGGAATAAGGAGCACCAGAAACTGTAATAACTGTTTGGGAAAGGGGAAGTAATTAGTCATCTTTATATTTGTTTGACAACAGCATTTGAAATGTTCCAGTGTGGTAAATTACCCTGCGATTAATTATTTTCATTATCTCTAATCAGCCACATGCTGTTAATCCCTTGTCTATAAAATGTCAAACTTGTGTTGTCTGTAGTTCTAAACCCAAAGATGTTTAGGTTATTATTAACCTAAAGCTTTTCACATTTCAAAGTCTTTAACCATAAATCGTTTGGTGTTTTTCCCTTAGAAAAAGTGCCTTAAATGGTTCATTGACTTTCAAAATTGGTGTTAATTTCTACTTTTCCAACTAGAATTTGAGCACTGCAGCTGGTTTTCCACTCTGCCAATCCAGTATCTAAATCATCAAAATCACACAAATAAGATTTTACTTATAATTGCATTTCTCACACTTCGCTTGAGTAGCTGTGTTGTAATAAAATAATTTGGTCTTAAGATGCTTTAATGCAACCCAAGGACACCTAACATACAGAAAGAGGCAAAGAAATAACTGCTAAACTCCCCAAATCCATTGGTCTGTCAGTATGGTATCTAAGCCTGACTGAACAAGTTGTTTCTGTTTATTTCACCCAGTGCTGAGCAAAAACAGCAAGCCCGTGCACACCACCCTGCTCAACCCACACGTGCACCTGATCGGTGAGGATGCTGCGTGCATCGCCTACATCCGGCTCACGCAGTTTGTAGACTCCACAGGCCGCCCTCGGTCCAGCCAATCAGAGGAGACCAGGGTGTGGCATCGTCGCGATGGCAAGTGGCTCAATGTTCACTTCCACTGCTCGGGAGCCCCTGCTGCACCACTACAGTGATGAGGTACTCAACTCCAAGTCAGCACAGAGATGTTATTAGACCAGTTTTAACATCAGCTTTTACTCATCTACTCTACTCTGACCTGTAACTTCATCAAGAGCTCTTGTGCTATTTTACAGCAGAATTTAAAATTAAGAATTAAAGCGTCTAACTTTTTTTTTTTTTGAACCGCTTAAATTTGAGGTGAAAGGTGAAGAGCTCGACTTGAACTTTATCTTAACTATCTTAACTGGCCTTAATTGAAGATATAAACCTGTTGCGTCCTGTAATTAGGTTTGGCTAACCTGTCTGATCGTTTTACTGGCCATGTTTTTTGCCATTGGACGTCATTCAAGTGACGTACGTAGGTGCATTACCACATATAAGAATTGACAGTAACTGGCTTAAACTGCAGAATTAAAACCAAAGTTGCAGTTAATCAGAATTATCCTTTAAACTGTACCTATTTCATCTCGCACCATTTCAGCCACAGTAGCCACTGGTGAAGTGTTGCCAAAACCTGATTTGTTCCCCCTTTGCTCCCCACAGTGGTCCTGAGCCTCCAGTCTGCTGGAGTGTGTGTTTTGGGGGGGGGCAGTGTTTTTTCAGCGAGCGTGTTTATGAGGCGCGTCCTCTGAGTGGATTGGCCAACGCCAGGAGCCCGGCCGGGCAAGATCGCATCCCTCTCCACGATACCAACAATCCTGTCCCTCCTTTGACCTGCTGGGGGCCAGCTGAATACAAGACACCGCCCCCATGGGATGATGCATGCATCTGGTGCCTGATTGGAGGGCGTGTCTTTGCCCTCTGTCCCTCCCTCTGGCAGCCATCTTTTTCCTGCCGGCGCAAGATGAGACATCCTGGGAGAGGAGAGGATTTACAGTTGAACTTGTGACAGTTTATGAGTATGAGTTATGAATATACTGTGTAAATTATGACTAGATGTACCAGAAACCACCAAAATCCAACTAAGCATTTATGTTCACTATCTAATAAGGGAGAAACAGAAGAATGTGAAGTTAGCAGCTCAGATTTTGGACACATTTTTGGCATTCTAGGGGTTGTCGGGTATAAAGTGTTGTACTTGATACCTGCACGTTGATGTTAAGATATAGGGAGATTTTCCCTAACAGAATTATAGAACGGGGAAAAAAATCAAGTCAGCTCAGTCAGAGAACTTGATGACAAGAGAAACTTGATATCAAAAACATGAAGCACCAAAGTGTAGAACTTTAGGCTTTTTATGTGGTCGTGTTTTTGTTTGTGTGCTTGTTTTCCGACAGAGGGGAAAGTTGTGTGGTTGTGGGACTGGGGCAGTGGGCATCTGGTTTGAGGTTACATGTTTTGTTGTGTTATAGCGTCTTGGTCTCTTTGTGTTTCTGTGAATAGCCAGAGCCTTTTTTTTTTTTTAATTTGACTAATCGTATATTTGAGGCTCCTTTAAAAGCAGCTGAGTTTTTAAAAAGAGGGATTTTATTTTGCAAGTTTAAAGATGATGTGCGTGTTTTCACGTTCTGTTGTCTGTATGCAGTGAAGGGAGAGGGTGAGGCAGGAAAGGCGTCTGCATTTTGCATGTTTGCCTGCCTCCTCTTCCTCGTTCATCCCTCCCTTTTTCTCAATCTCTAACCATTCCCTCTCTTAACCCTCCTGTTTCTTTTATCTGCTGTCTGCAAGGGCCTGACTTGTTTATATCACTGTGTAAATACAGTGTGTGTATAGATATATGTAGAAAATTGTAATATATGTACATGTATCTGAGAGACACTCATCCTGTGTATTTGGACATGGGAAGCACCCCATGACCTCTGTGACCCCAAACCTAGTTTAGGAGCGACATTTTCCTCACCAGTTCCAATTTGCTGTGATTCTCCTCCCTTAAAATATGGTAGCTCATGATCATTCACAAAAACATGAATACACAGACGTGTGTAAGCTACCAGCTCTAGTCCCATGGCTGTAAGACTGTTGTTGATGGGGGAATAGAAGAAATAACAGTTAGAGAATAATTTGACCCCGCTGCCCAACGACTGAGTTTTTAAAATATGAAGACCATCACTTCAGCTCGTGACCCCTCAGTGCTGTGAGCTGCCTCTTCATATCATACGCGCACACACACACGCCTGGTGGTGTGTTTAGGCTTTGTAATATATCTGCACCACTGCTGTGTGACCACGGCGCCACCCTTGCTGTGCTGCTTAATTGTCTCCATCCATCCTCGAAAGTCGTATCTTTAACACCCCACCCTGCTGATATCTCCCACCCGTGTACTGAGAGTCCCTCCTCTTTGAGATATTTCTTTGTGCCCTTCTCTCTTGTTTCTATGTCCCTGTGTTACCGGTTTGAGTTTTTTTGTTGTCGTTGCTGTTGCTGTTAACTTGTCGTTTGGTAATTTGCCAATCTGCCAAGCTTGAGTTCTGCACTCTCCCTCACACACATGAAAAATAATCGGGGGGGTTAAGCGGAGGATGTAAAGACAACACAAAATTAGACCAGGATTAAATTACTCGTTAATGTAATCTACCCTTGGTGGTTTTAAATCGTGCCTGCTCAGTGGAGCCAGAGAGAGAGAGAGAGAGAGAGAGAGAGAGAGTGTGAGTAGGTGTGGGTGTGCAGGTTTTTGTGACCTTCACTGTTGAACCAGAGCGGGAGACCTAGTTATATGCATGTTTCAGTTACACATTTCTACCATGTACCTACCTGAATACTGATGGAGCCTAGTGTTATTATATATTTGCATCTTTTGAAATGAGAATTTCCTCCATCCAGAATGTTGAATAGGTGACATGACTATTAAAAAATAAAAATAAAAAAAAATGTAAAAAAAGAAAAACAAAAAAAGATTCAGGAGCCATAGCTTGGTATGAGGCCCTCAATGTTTTCCCTGCGTTGTAATGATATGCTACTGGGCTGCGCTTTCTCCCCCAGCCCTCACGTGGATGCTGGAGGGGTTTTTTTTTTTTTTTCCTGTTTTGTTTTGTTTTTTGGTTTTTTTGCATGATCATGATGTACAATGAAATACAACCATGAATTGACAACTATCAAGTGTTTGTCTGAGTGTTAGTTGGTCTTCATCATAGCTTTGTTATTCTTCGAACTTGGATCTTGAAAGTATTTAATAAAAATACTATTTCAGCACTGGTTTGTCTCTCGGGACCAGACTGTTTCTTAAGGTTTGTCACCATGTCTCTGTGTCTGATTTAGCTTCAGTTGTTTTTGTCCTTTAGAAAGGCATCTGGTTCCTGGAATTACGCTCCAGCCATCCCCAGACCACATAACCTGTCAAAACAGTTTTGTGTTTAGCCCCTGGGTGCTTTTGTAACGTCACGGTTTCTGGACCGATGGTCTCTCACGCTTGTTTGGTGTCACATACTGTCCAGAAAAGAAGCATCTCCAAAATGGCAACAGGCCTCTTCTTTTCTTTTTTTTTTTTTTCTTTTTTTTTTCTCTCCTCCTTCTTTGCCCGGATCACTGCACCCCACCCCCCCAGCCTGGATCTGAGGGGGTTTCATCAGTAGAGTCTCTGAAATTACCAAATTTGGAGCTAATAGAGATGCACAACACATGTTGAGATTATGTAATGGCACAATGTTTAGTCATGCTGAATATCTGCTCATGTCTCTCGTCCAATTTTAGGAAAGGGTACTAGTCTGTATCAGGTGTCACTTAGCATGAAGCCATTGGTAGTTAAAGGGAGAATGTTAAAACCAGCTCTGGATCCTAAACCTTTGCGTAACACTGCACACAGGATAAAACAACCACTGCTGTCCATTCAATAGCTCGTGCATTGTCTCCTCTCACCACGTCAGCCTTTGTACAGTCTCCCAGCACTATCAAGCCCAGTGAAGTGTTGAGTAATGCTGCAGCCTTATTTAAAAAGGTTTTGTGGTGTTATTTATGATGGTTCCAGTTATTTTAAGGATTGTGTGTGTCTGGGATGTAGGACAGCTCCCACCGGTTCCTCTGCTCTCTGTGATTAATGAGGAGAGCTCGGTAGTTTTTAAACTTGGAAACACACTTTCTCAAAGACATAAAGGAGAGAAACTCTTGGGAATGTCTTGTTAGCTCTGTCTGACCTTTGGCTCTTAAATATCAATAAAATTAGTAGAAAAGCTGAGCTGAAAGTACTTTTGACTTTGTTGAAGTCCCGGTTCTTGGAGCATGCACAAATGTATCCCGTTGTTTAGAACACTTGAACATGTGGAAGCCAGATGACTTTAGCTCTGTTTTGTCATTGAACGTCCGACTCTGGCTTCAAGGTACACTGACAATCCATCATGACGCCGAAGAACTATGTACACAGATATCTTGGACCTACAGCTGGTACACGTGCACTGTAAACTTGAAGAATGACGCCGTTATTATCCCTCTCGTCTTATTACTGTTTTTGTGACAGATCTGTTGCCTATTAGTGCTGCTATGCTGTAGATCCAGTCTTAAACAGATGTGACCTAACCTTTAATGACGGACTGAAGCACAAGGTAAGTATTCATGTACAGTTGATCTGATTTTGACAGTGTTATTAGCCAATTTTTGCTGCGCTTCATATCTTCTGGCCGGGGCTGTCACTGCTGTACAGTGGTTGCCCCCCACTGAAGTGAATAATGCCTAGTACCCCACAACAACACAGTTGGAGAAATAAATGCAGACATCTTCTGCATGCATGATGTAAAATTTGACCAATTTTAATCTGAAATAATTTGGTGAATATCAATTATAAAGCAGCAGAAAAATGTTTGGTTATGAGGCAATGATGTCATTCTTTTACTTACATTAAGCTGATTTACTTAAAGGCAATACATGTTTTGTTAGCAGTCTTTTAATTTGTGTTTTTTCTAACTTAGATGGGAAATGGCATATTATTACTGCAGGGCTTTAAGAATGTGTTTATTTGATGCAAATGCATACCAAGCTCATAATATGAGAATGAACAGAAAGAATTGTTTTGTTTTGCCACCTTGGTTCCTACAGACATGAACAGTGTCTCCATGCTGCATTCACACAATGCACAGTGTTTCAAACTGAAAATAAATGCAGCTTAGCCCTTGTCCTTTAGGATTAACAATGGATGAGAAGAAATACACGATGGGGATATTTATTGACCTAAAAAAGCATTTGACACAATCAATCATGAGTTATTAATGGACAAGTTAGAAAAATATGGGATCAGAGGAATGGTTCTGAAATGGATTCAACGTTATTTGACAGAGGCGTCAATTTGTGAAGTTGGGTGAATACCAATCGAGTGAGCTGGATATTGTATGTGGAGTGCCTCAGGGTTCTGTTTTGGGACCTAAATTATTTATATTATACATTAATGATATATGCAAGGTTTCTGATTTAGTGAAAGTGGTTTTGTTTGCTGATGACACTACCATATGGGCATCAGGTGAAAACCTACAGCAACTCTCTGAACGGGTTTCACAGGAAATTGTGAAGATAAAGAAATTGTGTGATAGTAATATATTCTCTCTGACTTTGGAGAAAACTAAATTTATGGTATTTGG